TTTCAGAGCATTTCCTCTCCAAGTTGAAACACTTAACAGAGTAATCACCTAGATCGACAGAAGCATTTAAGAAAATGCAGATTTCTCCAAGTTAACTTTTTCAGTGGCCATTTATCCTCCTTAGTTATCCAGGAAAGCAGCTCAAATGTCTCTTACTTTAAGCTGGGGCTGTAGTTCAGGTAACAGAGTGTATGCTTAACATGCAAAAAGTTCTGGATTCCTTCCTCCAAACTGCATAAACCAGTCATGCTACCACACACTCGCAATCCTAGGCTTGAAAAGTGGAGGCATGAGGTTCAGGAATTCACTGTCCTCTTCAGTTATCTGGAGAGTTAGAGCCCAACCTGGGCTCAGAGAGGTCAGGTTTCAAACCCATGACAATAGGCTGAGGTGCCTACTTACCATATCAAAGTGAACCTGGTTCTCCCAGCCTCCCTAAAACCCTAGCTGTTCCCGGGCCCTACTGCCTGACACACCCTTCCTCCATCCCTAAACTTTCCCAGCCCAGAGGCTGAGCTACCCTTCCCTCAGCTGTCCTTCCCTATAAAATACAACCATTTGGTTACCTGGTCTTTTTGTCTACTCTTTTGCTACACCTTGCTCCCCTTTCCCCATCCCTCTTCCCCTCTTCCTCTCCTCACATGGCTCAGGGTCATGTCCACTCTGGGCTCTCCCAGATGCCCCTGCCTCTGACAATGTCTGTCCCCCTTTATCCACAATAAACTTTCTCCTCCATCTTAACTGGAAGCAATCATGCTTCTTTCCTTTTTATTTCATTTTTCATTCATGAGAAACTATGCCTCAAAACACCAACAAAACCCCCTCCTCCAATTATTTAAGGGGCATATTTTCTTTCTTTTCTTTTCTTTCTTTTTTTTCTGTTTTTTTGTTTGTTTGGTGGGTTTTTTGTTTGTTTGTTTTTCAAGACAGGGTTTCTCTGTAGCTTTGGAGCCTGTCCTGGAACTAGCTCTTGTAGACCAGGCTGGCCTCAAACTCACAAAGATCTGCCTGCCTCTGCCTCCCGAATGCTGAGATTAAAGTTGTGTGCCACCACCGCCCAGCAAAGGGGCATATTTTCAAGACCCTTGCTGAATACTTGAAATTATACATAACACCCAGTCCTACACACACACTAAGAACCTTGCACTGCATGATTTCTTTTTAGTACACCTGAATTTGCAAGTGTACACAACCACGCCCAGGTTATACAGTGCTAAATATCAAACCCACAGTCTAAATGCATGCTAGGCAGTCACTCTCCAACTGAGCTACATCCTCATCCTGAATATATAATTTTGCCTTTCAATCTAATAGTAATTTTTAAATATTTATGTGTAGAAGTGTTTGGCTTACATATGTGGCTGTGCATCATGTTCCTACAGTGCCCACAAAGGTTCAGAAAAGGGCACAGAACCACTGGACCTGGAGTCATAGACAACTGTGAGCAGTCACAGGAGTGCTGAAAACTGAACCCAAGTCCTCAGCAAGAGTAGCAAGTACTCTTACCACTGAGTCATCTCTGCAGCCGCCCATGCCTTCTTTTTAAAATATTTATTGTATTTTTATGTGTATGTTGCATGTGTATAGGTGACCACTTAGGCCAGAAGAAGGCATCAGATACACTAGAGCTGGAATTACAGGTGGTTGTAAGCCACCCGACATGAGTTCTGGGACCCCAACCCATGTCCTCTGCCTAAAAGCACTCTTAACCGCTGAGCCATTTGTTCATCTCCCCAAGCCATTTAAAAAGTAATCTTACCTTTATGTACTTCATTACTTCTCAGCTACTTTGCACTTCCACAGAACCTCTCACTGTGTGCTTTGTCAACTAGCCACACCATGTCTTTGCCTGGGATGCCGTCTCCCTTCTTCCCTTTCCACTCCCCTAATTCCTCATTGATCAGGAGCACCTCCTCCAGGAAGCCCTTCCTGACTTTCAGTTGGGTGGAACTGTTACTCCATCAGTGCCCAATCCTCTGTTTACACAGCTGTCTCTGGCATCTCCTCAGAGGCAGGGCCCCCTACTGAGTCATTTGTGTGTGCCTGGCATCACTTAGCCCAGGGCCCCACCCATCAGTAGCTCAAGAGTTGACCCTACAATGAACACGTTTTTCCTGTTTCTTCTCCATTTGTGGCTACCACCCTTACCTTTCTCCCCTGCTTTCTCATCATGAAATTAAATTTAAAAATAACCCTTCTGGAGAAGGAAGGTCATTGTGGACTCAGGGCAGGCACCAGTTAAAAGCTGCCATCAGAGGGGAGAGAACTGGGCAACAGTGCTTAGCTTCATCTGTCTTTGTCATCTTGTCTTTGCTACATTCAGTCCTGATCATCTATGCTTGCAAGGAATTATGGGATAGTGGACCTCTGTGTCTGAGAGAGGAGGGCTAGGCCTGAACTCCTTTTCTAAGAGAAAAAGGCTAATGTCTAGATTCCTGAGTCTAAAGGCAGAGGATTAAATACTGGACCTCTGGGTCTAAGAGAAGACAGGGGTCTGGAATCCTGAGTCCAGGGAAGGAGAGCTAGGGTCCTGTAACCCTGGTCTAACAAAGGAGATTAAGGCCTGGATACCTGGGTCTGAAGGTGGAGTCTTGGCTGTGGCCAGATCTCTAGTATGCTGGCAGAGAGAAAACCCAAAAGTTTGAAACCCTGGTCTGTCTCTCATGCACACTCTGGTTTTAGAAACATCTGGTTTTATACAGCTGCTCCACCCAGTCAGGGCGGTGTTCAGGCTAGGCAGTCAAATGCCCAGCTCCTGGGCGGAGGGAGCTTGGGCTATCCCTTCCTAGCCACTGGAACTCCTCTTATCCCCTTTTCTGGGCTTGCCTCCATCATCCTGACACAGCCAGACACTAAGCATCACAGGCTCCCGGCAAAAGCGTCAGACACAGCTTGCCCCACCCTAATGGATGGGTGGTACCCAGGTTCCCACCACCAGGGAGCTTCTCTCTAGTGGCCAGGCTCAAGCAAAGGCCCAACCTGGCACTGACCCTACACCCTGTCTAGCAAAGTTCTTACAAGCTGGGTGTGAGAACCTGGCTTTGTTCAGGAAAGTCCTGAATGAGTAGGAGACATGAAGCATCAGGATAAAGGAAAACCATAGAGACATAAAAAGTTGGTGTGTGGCGGGGAGTGAGAGAGTCTCACAAAGAGACAGGCAGGCAGATGATAGCTAGAGACATAGAGGGATAGAGGAATACATAGATGACAGATATACATAGGTAGATTATTAAAAGATGAGAGATGACAGAGAGGCAGGTAGGCAGATGAGAGATGATAACAGACATCAGAGGGGAAGACTGGGATAAGAAAGGAGAAGAAATGGGAATACAGATGGGTAGAGAAATAGAGTCAGGGGGTAAAGCACAAAATGAGCGAGCAAGAGAGAGTGAGGGAGACAGAGAGAAAGAATATAAATTATTAGTATCCACCACACAGGATACAGGAAGAGACAGTTGCTATACACTACCCACTTTCAGATCTCAGTAAGAGGAACTTGGGGGATAATCTTCGAGCTAAGAACAACAACAAAAATCTTATAAAAAGAATATAAAAGAGTAACAGGGATTACTGGCCTTCTGGTCCCAAGGGGCTGAGGTACATGCACCCTGGCACCCCATCTCATCCCAGCTGTGTTCTGACCCAGTTTCCATGATGGTGTATCACAGCCCTTCAGCCCAGACCACTCCCGGAAGTCACTTGGAGTCCCTCAGAAGACAGACCCTAGTATTCTAGTCCTCAGCCCCAGTCAGACCTTGACGGAGACACATGTGTGTTCTCACACACACCCCACAGACAGACAGACAGACAGACAGACAGACAGACAGAAATCAGCCCAGCAAAGAGCAGGCAATTCTGGCTGTAGTTCCAGGCTGCTGTGAAACACACGCCAGCAAGCCAGCAACACAGGCACACCCACAGACATGCGTGTGCACTTTATCTATCTGCCAGTTGTTGATATATCCTCCTGTGGGACTCATTTGTAGAGAGTCTGGAGAGAGGAAGGTGGGCTCTGGGGAGATGAGGGGTAAGTGAGGAGGAAGAAGAAGATATGTGGGCAGGGCAGGGAGACAGGGGGGCTGTGGGAGATAGAAACTGAAAGGCAAATGGGGCAAATGGGGTGAGATGGAGACAGAAATACAGACAAAACACAAGAGAAGCAGATGAGGGAGATGGGGAAGACAGACATAGGGGGAAGGTGGAAAGGGATATACAGATAGGACAAATGAAAGGTAAAGTGAACTCAATGCAAGGGGAAAAGGGAGAAAGAAAAAAGAGTGGAAGGGCTGGAAGAAAAGGGGGTGTAAAGAGCCAGTTTGAGGGGCTGTGAAGACTGGTGAGGGGGATGGGGGCAATGTCGGGAATCGAAGAGGGTGGAGTTACAGGACTGCCTGACCTCAGAGCCCCTGGACAGGCTAATCGGCTGACGTCAACCCTCCTCCACCCCCGCATTTGCTGGTCTTCAAATGGCCCCCCTCCAGCTAGCTCTAGACACACAGAGACTGCAGAGCAAGCCGGAGAGGAGAAAATTCATCAGTATCCACAGCCATGAGACACGTATGTACATGTGTGTGTGTGTGTGTGTGTGTGTGCATGTGCGAGCGTGTGTGTCTGTTGCCATAAAGGATAATTACTACCATATGTGAGACCATGTGTATCGGGGACTATTGAGAATGTGTTTGTATGTGAGTGTATCTACTTGTGACAGCAACTGTATGAATTCAGTGAGCACGTGCGGTGGAGTGAGCTTCCTTTGTCATCCATACATGTCTATGATTCTATAAATGCATGCTAGTGTTCCTAAAGAAGACTGCAGCATTTCAGCTTCAATTTAATGGGTTCAGAATCTATTTAGTTGAACTGCGTGCATTCACCAACATTCAACTTCTCTTGACCTGGAAGAAGAGTAATGTCATATGGATGGCATCCACTTAAACCAGTGATTCTCAGCATGTGGATCGCAACCCTTTTGGTCAATTTACAACAATGAAAACACATCCTGCATATCAGACATTTATATTACAATTCACAATAGTAGCAAAGTTAGTTATGAAAGAGCAACTAAAATAATTTTAAGCTTGGGGTCTGCCACCACAGCATGAGGAACTGTATTGAACGGTGGCAGTATTAAGAAGGTAGATAACTACTGATCTGAACTATTGATTATTTCTTCTGAAACCTATTTCTGTTCCTTCACCCCAGACCTTCAGTGGCTGTCTGGGTGTTTCCTGGCATGTTGCTTATTGTCTTGATATTGTTTCTTCCTCATGCTGAGGGCTTGTGTCCTCAGGTACCTTGCATGACCATTAGTGGGAGATCACAGGACCCCCATTTTCAGTCTGAGACACGGCATATGAGGTTGTCTTGTGGAACATGGGTGCTTTCAGTCTGTGTGGCTCTTAATGTGAGTACAACTGTAGGTGGAGATGTCCGTGTTGCTGGCATCGAAAACGTCTTCATAAGCTGAGCCGCCCCCAGGAGCCTAGGTAGAGCTGTGTTTGAGACAAAAAGACAGGAATGAAAGGGTCTAAAATAAAGAATAATTGTTATTGAGTATTTAAAAGTTCTATCTTAAGTTGTAAACCATGTATTTGAGGTCCCAGATACTTGGGAGGCAGAGACTGGACGATGCTTGGGTCTAGGAGTTTGAGGCCAGTCTGGACAACACAGGGAATCCCTTCATCTTCTTTTAATATTCCCAAAATACCTAACTCACCACTACTATCTGAAACATAATATGAATTCTTACATATGATTATTAAAACCTCTTGAAAAAGTAAGAGGGGCTTACAAATGGCTCTGGAAGGAAAGGTGCTTGGTGCTAAACCTGACAATCTGAGTTTGTTCTCCCAGACACAGTGTAGGAAGAGAGAACTTAGTACCAAAACTGTCCTCCAACTTACACACACACACACCCTGTGACACACATATGCCCACACACAATATAAGCAAAGAAATAACTGTAATTTTTAAATGAAATTAATTTTGGTAATTTTTTTGCATCAACTCAGTGTGTGAGACAACTGTAAACTTTTCTACCAAACAGCAGACAGTATATCGTGATTTGGTATTCTACTGTGTAGTCAGGACAGACAACGGTAAATGAGAAGTGTGGTATTAAGGACACTGACGTTTGAACTGCTAGTGACTTTCACGCTCTACAAAACATTTTTGTTTCCCTCTCAGCTTAAAACGATTTAGGAATGTAAAAAGATATCTGTTTGTAAGTGGTAGTGGAAATCTGTGTCCTGACCTCTATTGTATACTTAAAAAATATGGTTGTTTGGGGCTGGCAAGAGGGCTCAAAAAGAAAGGGGCTTGCTGTTAAGCCTGATTACTTGAGTTTGTTCCATATGATGGAAGATGAGAATTAACTCCTGAACGTTGCCCTGACTGCCACTTACACACCACGGCATATGTGTATGCATACATGTATAGATAGATAGATAGATAGATAGATAGATAGATAGATAGATAGATA